ATTCCATCGTCCAACATATAATGTAGGAGGACCGTCTTGGCAAAATCTCAAATGGTTCAACAAATTTTTTTTAATCTCCTGCCTCTTTGCAAAAACACAACAAGAAATTATGATTACGAATCATAACATGAACTACACAGAAAAAGGAAAATCCTTTCTTTTCTCAGAAAAAGAAGCTTCCGCTCTTTCCAAGCTTACGTGCTTTCGATGTCCTCGTTGCTCCACGCACCGTTCATCTTCTTGGAGGAGGAGTAGCACAGTTTCATAATGAACGGGAATTTTGTGCATTTGTGATCGATCGCGCTGTGGTTGCACTTCATGATAGCGTCACCGCTAGGGCTACGCTCGGGAACTCGACCAATCCGGAGGAGGAACTTTCCGATTTCAGCGGGAGCATTCGCACTTGCGAAGGGTGGCAATCCTTGGTGGTGAATGCAGTCAGCAGCTCGGACGGCATCCGGGTGGGGTATTGAAGAAGTGGAGAATGCGATTTTTGCTGGCCTGGGAAGCGATTGTTCTTGGAGACACTGTAAACCTTGAAGCTGATCGAATTGTCCAGCAGGGTGTTCGGGTTGGTCGACTCTGACAAGTAGTTCTGCTTGGAAAATGCAATTTGAATTTTGCTACCATCATTTCCATTCATTCAATGTTGTTCAAGTGCTGGATGCTGCGTTCGACTGGTTCGACTGGTTCGACTGCGATGGCTTCTCCCATCTGGGCCATTGCGGTACGCTTTTTAGTCTTCAGGAACTTTATCCTGACAACATTTCCATACAGGCAGAACAGATTGAACAACTTATCGGTGTTGGCTGTGTTGTTATCGAGTCCGTAGACCATCATCACTGCGCCCTGTTGCTGTACCGGTTGAATGAAGTTGGCTGGTCCGTTTCGGGTCCAGCGGTGCGTCCTTCATCAGTCCGACGTGTGTTACGGCCGGTGTTGGTTTCCAGTTTTCCGACGGATGATACTCGGGTGGTGAAAAATTCGGTGCAAATCCGTTTCCTCCACCGGCTCCCAGAAGGCTGGTTGGCTAATGATTGACGTTTGTTGTGCACCGTCGGCCTTCCGCCGAAGATGGAAGGATCGTGTAGCAACGGAGCTCGAGCTGAGAAAAATGTAGGCGCAAAATAAGTGTGAAGAGTGACCACCCCTTGCGTGAAGTGCAGTAAATCTACAGTGTTCAAGATTGTTAAGAAGTTTGGAGAAATGTGTTCTCTTGAATATTTACCAAAATCTGGGCGCAAAAAGAGGGCATCGGACCAGAAAAGAAGCTGGCAGCAGTACGCCTTTTGAAATTGCATAAACCGTGTTCCATTCATGGAATTGCCAAAAAATCAGTGTCGGAACTGGGCAGAATATCAAAAAACGTAACAATATTAGAATCTACAAGAAGCAAAAAGCTCCCAAAAGGATGGATTCACAGAAAGCTTCTTCGAAAATACGGTCAAGGAACTGACGTTCTCCTTCAAAAGCCGAACCGGTGCATTTTGATAGACGACGAGATGTACGTCAAATTGGATACCAGTACACTTCCCGCGCTGCAATTTTAAAACGCTAAGCAGAAGACAGATGTGCCTGATGATGGGCGATACATCTGAACCGAAAAATTTGGAAAAAAGGTTTTGGTGTGGCAAGCCATTTGTGTCTGTGGCTTGAAGAGTTCTTCGTATTTCAAAACGGACACAATCAATGGTGAAAGTTACAGAAAAGAATGCATCAAAAAACGGCTTCTACCCATCTACCGAAAGCATACGGATCCTCCATTGATTTGACCGGATCTTACATCTGCTCACTATGCTTCTGCTAAGTTGGAGATGCTCAATAAGGAAAAAGTCGAAGCAAAAAATTTCAAAAATGAGAAAAAAACATATTTTTCAATTTGATTTTCACTCGATCTTCTAAGAACAGAACTAATTTTTCTCGCAAATTGTTTTAAATGTTTTTTACTATTAAAAAACATGAATTAATCCTGATGAATGTGGGCGTCTTAGTGGAATACCTGTATAATGAGAGAGAGAAGGATTAGTATTTTCCATTTAATTCCACTACTTTATTTGCTTATCCTTGACAGATACGCTTATTTCGTCTACAATGTGCAGACTTCTTCAGTGTCTTGTACTAATACTCGACTGAATTAATGTTGAAAATGGATTAAAAAGTGGGCAAGTTCAAGATCAAGTTTTCAACAAAAAACATTAAATAGATTTTTGTATTTCACAGTCATTTCTTACATTTAAGATCGATTAAACATAAAACGTTCAAAGTATAGTTTTAGTAGAAAAATAGAAATCATAACCATCGCTCGCGGTGCAGAATGGACCTCATAATCTAATACTTTCATAAATCCGAAGAAAAAGCAAGTGAGTGGAAGCCTACAAATCCGATCTACAGATATTTTACTTAAAACACAAGAGATAATCAACTCTGCACACTGTGCCGAAACACAGCATGGCACACTGTTTGGCACGTTAAGGAACACGATGACAAGTATGTAACGAACAATATTATATAAAACGGCAACGCTGTTGAGCGATGAAGTTTTTCTAATCGATTTACTCGTTTCTAAGGTATATTTGCTCCCAAGTGAAAAAAAAACGTGAATAACGGTCAATACTAGAAATAGAGAGTGAATCATCTACAGCTAATTGTTTGTAGAAATCGTAGAGCAATAGGCCCTGTTATCAGTTTGGAAATAGTAAGGATTTAGAATAAATCATCATTCAATTAATTCTACGCCGAATACCGAATCACCCAAGTAACCAACAAGCCCGTTAATCGCCCTTTTTGGTATATAAGACTGCTATACGACTGATATAAAGTTCGGAAACCCTATATTTACCTTATATCGCAAAAAGGGCGATTATCGGGTAGTTAGCGGGCTTGGTGGTTACTTGGGCAGTAAATAATATTTCCATTTGCATAAATATTTTCATCCGCGACAACATTCGCATTGCAACATGCAAATCTTATGTGGATGTGACAAATATTGTAAAGAAAGATCCGTTAACAAAAGTCCAAATTTAACAAGGGTTACGTGATCCGAAGAACCATTGAAAAGATCCGGATCATCTATATGGATGAACCGGTTCTGAGCCACTAACTAAGTGATCCGTTTTGCCCATATCTAGTCTATACTATATTAGCATCTAAAAATTGCTAGAGATGTACCAAGTAGTTTCTAAAATGAAAGAGGCATAGAATAAGGGCAAAAGTGCTGCTAAATTGAAAAAAAAATGAGATATTATACAGGGGAAATGAATGTAATATCCCTAGTTTAGGCCCATAGATAAATTCAGTAATCGACTATTTTTTCAATAGCGACCAAAAATATTCATTAGTACCGTCCCAATGACGCGTTCATCTAGATAAAATTGATAAATAGCAGATTTTTAGCGATGGGCCCAATCTTAGATCCATAGGTCAACATTAGAGCCATTTCCCCTACATACTAACTTTTAGGCGCATTTTTGGAAACAGTTGGAGCTAGAGTATGAAATTTATGCCTGCAGTCTGGGTGAATTCATAGGAAAAATTGCTGAGGATATGCGACGTATGGCTGATCACTACATCGAGCATCAGCTGAAGGTGGGGATCCTCTCCATGAACTGTATGGGACTTTGAATCCTAAGCAGCCCCGAGCTCGAGCTCCTGTAAGGGGAAGTGATATGCCTGCTCGATTTACACTGTACTTTATAACGCATGCATCCCACACTAGGGTGTTTCATTCTGGAAAAGGATTAATATTTTTGATAGGCCACCCCCTAGTTCAGTTCATAACACAAAAATAAACATCTGTGCAAAAAATCAGCTAAATAGGTCAACGATAAGAGGTCGCGCCAACTATTTCAATTTTGTTCAGGATTTTCGTCAAATTACTATCGGAGAAAATGATGACCCACTAAAATCATTCTAACTTTTTTCCTAATGAACATACTTGCATGAAATTGAAATATGTTATACTTAAAACTATAATGAACAACTTTGTTGAAGGCTGCAAGTCGATTTGATGCTTCAGAAATCAGAAATTGGCTTTCGGAACTCAGATTGCAGATAAACCTTGATTTGAACAGAAAAGCAGGACAGGCACTCGTATTCCATATGTACTCCAATAGGTCGTTAAATGTTGGAATTTATGTTCACAACTTTTTTCTTCGATTTACAATGAACCGTGCATGAAAGCTTGAAATTGTAAACAAACGATCTCGAAAGTCAAAACTGCAGGGTTGCCAAACTCATGGGATACTGAGATTGAGATTGAAACCTTGATTGCCACACTTCGTCACGTTCGGCACAACGCTTGACACAGCTTTTGGCACAGATAAAGTATTCGGCACCGATTGAGATATGCAGAGTTGAACACTCCTTGGAAAACGCATCTTTTTCGGGAAACTAGTACTTTCCGGGAATTGGACCATTCGGGGAACGGGGTATTTCTGGGACAACACTTTCGGGGGAAAGTCATACAGTCGTAAAGAGTTTTTGAGATTTTTGACATCATTTTTCAATATTTTTAATCAGTCAAAATATACTTTTTTTTTGGTAGCGATAAGCGAAGCTACGAAATCCAAATTTCCTAAGCGTCAAATACATACATTTACAAATTGCAAATTGCAATAACAAAATAACAAAATTTATAGTGCTACTTTCACTGATTTAAAAAAAATGTATGAGTTGGTGATTGAACTATTGAAATGCAGTCACATTTTCTAGTGGGACTATACATAATACATAATCTCCTGTATCAAAGCCGAATGAGTAGTTTTAATCCAAATTGGATAGGCTCCTACATTTTGTCTGAAATTGTTCTTATATTTAAAATATAAGTAGTGATTCAAAATCTCTTACGCTTCGGAGGCGAACCAGCCTAAGGCTGAAAGCCTCCTAAATAAAGCTAAATTAATTAATTAATCTCTTACGCTGAAAAGTTTCAGCGAAACTTTCGTGATATCAAGAGTACAATCAGGGACGTTGTCATCATTATCTGCCATTATAGATTTAAATAAATAAAATGCACTTTTATTTCACAAAGATACATAAATAAATGTACAAAAAAAAATTGAACGTACCATAAATAGCAGATTCCTGTGCCGATATAGTAAGTTTTAACATTTTTGCGTGCATCTGCTTAAATTGAAAACCAATTCTCTCACTCAGGGTGACTTCACAATAGACGCGGAATATCCTTAGATTTTCCTTTCTTCAACATTCAAATAACATAATAAATATCGACGATGTGCAGCAGCTTTTCTCCAGCGGCTCGCTTTTCACATTTTAGTGGGTTATTGTCCCCTAGACACTTATAACAATCTTCAATGTATGTATAGCATTATATCAATTTCGAGTGTAACAAGCATACCACGTTTTTGCGTGTGGGAATATGCTTACGTGCATAGTTAGCGTAAGTGTAAGTAACAATAAACATTACAAATCGAAAAAAAAACATTGCTTTTCCATCTCGATTGCTGTTTTCTACATGCGCAGGTAAGTATTAAGTTTTACTGTTGAGCACAACGTTCTTTTGATTTTCGTTTCTTATTGTCGGCCGAGGTATTCCGTCTGGTTCCCTGTATCGGCATGTACGGTGGCACTGGACTAGATGAGCCGGGATCGGAGAACTCCAGGATGTCTGCGGGAATTCGGAAATGCGATTAGTTAGGAGGATATTACGGAATGATGTGCCAAATTACCACCTGGAGGCGAGGAGAGTGTCGAAGCAGTCATCGAATTGGTGTTCATCGGACTGCTTCCGGATGTGTTGAACGTGGGATCGATTTTGGCAGCGATGTTTTCGTCGGTATATTGACTTCTGGATGAAATTTAAAATCTGTATTTAAGAACGCTGAATCTTGTTAGAAGCAAAAGTTACCTGGAGCTGGAAGAAGGCCGATTGACGATTCCTCTCACATCCAGATGGCTCGGCCGTTGAGGACTACGACTCTCGCCAACATCGGAAACCGGGAGGACGTAGATATCGTCGTCTTTTCGACCGTTTTCCACTAACCGCTGGACGTTGGCGGAGAGCTTCAGGTTTGGTGTGGACTTTTGCTGTCGAATCATGTCGATGGGATTCGAATAGCTGTCATCATTCGGCGACACTTGAGAATTCACGTAATGGCTTCCCGAGCCGGATCCATGCGACGAAATGCTTCCCTGTGCTTTGTGTATCGCACCTCCATGTTCGGGCGAGTGAGCCGGAGCTCCGAAGTACCGTTTACCGCTTCCAGCACTACCGGGACCACCTACAGCACCGATTGCCTGTGATTGCTGTAGCATATCGATCGGATTTGAATAGGAATCACCATCGTCCGGATCGCCATTGTCTGCCTCCAGCGATGCCGGCTGTTGATCGCCAACCAGGTGCGATGACGAACTTCCCTCACCAATGGCTTCGTCTGCATCACCCGAGAGGGGGTCTTGCAGTTGTTGCTGCTGCCGTTGCATTTCCTTTTTGAGCCGAGCCTTCTCCCGTGCTCGCTTTGCTTTAGCTCGTTCCCGTTCCTGAAGCATCTTGGCCAGTTCCTTGTCCTGAGCTTCCATGGCAACTCGGCGATCGATCACCTCCTGATCCAGACCATCCGCTTCCTGTTCCTGGAGCTTGCGGGCGAGTTCCTGTGGGTTGAAATTGGTTTAATGCAGTGTTTCTCGACGTTTGGGCCGTTCTCTGTTGAGGACAGCTTGAATATATATATTTTTTATTAATCTGAATTTAAAATCATGCTAAAATATAGACGTTGGAAATCAACAGAATGTTTCAGCGAAAATCTTAACGGAATCCTTCATAAGGAGTTTTTGGAGATGGTTGAATAATTTCTATTTAGTCTAAAATTCTTTGGCATTGTTAGACGATTTGGAATTTCATAACCATTCTTCATGGCTGAGTAAAGGATATTTTATCTTTTTTCTCTATATATATTTTTGAAAAGCCAATCAAACAGTTTTTAGCGTTAGTGATGGTTTTTATGTCATTTTGGTGTTTCTTTAGAAGATTTTGGCGTTTTACTGTCTGTTTGAAGTTACGATAGATTTGTAATTTTCAGGTCGTTTTGGCGTTTTTTAACTGAAGCTTCGTTTTTAGATTATCGTTGGCGTTTTGTAGCTGTGAAGCATTCAATCTACAAACTATTTTGGTGTTAGAATGAGCAATTTTTGTGTGTTTTGCCTGTGTGCAAAGCATTTTTTTTTAGTGTATTTAAAGTTGATCTGGAGGTATATTTGTTGAATCGTTTCATTCCAGGACTATTTTGAAGTTTTTAAGTAATTCTAGCAGTTCAAGGCCATTTTGAGAATTCTATGGCCATTTTTGACATTCTAAGGTTGTATCGTTCTACTGTCACTAATGCCACATGAGCCATAAAGTGTTTCTAAAAATAACAATAATAATACTAATTATAATACTAATTATAATAAGGGAAGTAAAGCCGGTGGTCTCCTGTTCATGAGTTGATGGGTCGATAGGTAGGGTACAGCTGTGGCAGCTGCCTCCCTGGCGTCGGTACCATTGGTGCTCAGCACGGAAAACAAGATCGACGGAAAGCAAATCAAGGAAAAAAAAATAATAATAATGATCAATTCGAGATAACCGAACAAAAGCATATACAATAGGTGTGGTAAGTAGGGTATACGTCCCTAACCTCGGTCTAATATGCAGCCATAGATTACGTTTTTAATCATAACTCATCAATTAATTTACCTGCAAACGATATTCTACTGCTAAATGGTATGCTTAGATATGCTTATCATGTCGTTTGCTATCAGGAACCGCAAAAAGTTGAAAAACTTACTTTTTTTAAGACAAAAACTCACCAGGGAAATGTATGTAATATCGGTCTATTGTCCCCAAATTGGGTCTATTTATGGATGCAACTTCGTCCTATCCTGTTTGATTCTCAAAAAAACGCTCTTGGTAACGTTTTCTTATGTATTTTTTTTTATCACTATCACTGTTAACTTAATACTCTTCATTCCTCAAAACATTTCTTAGAGAAAATTTTACGAAAACTACATTAAATCACTCAAGTTAAAAATTAAAAATTAAAAATTTCGCTTATCGTCTTTCGACCGCAGAATATCTAAATCAAAACATTGTGATGTTCATTATACAGATTTGGCAGAAAAAATCTCCCTTCCTGTTCGTTCCTTATCATCCAAATGCAAACCACATTGTTGACGTTACTCTTATTGCTATATGCTGTCAAATGAATTTCATGGGCCAAAGTTAGGAACATAGAAAAGAAATGTGTCCCTAAAGTTGGGTCCATGATTTACTTGTGAAAACGTTGTTAAACAATTAAAATAAACATAAAATATTCAAACAGTAACTGTGAGTTTTACGTCTAGTGTGTATTATCAGGTAATTCCATTCAATAAATGCCATAATCAGGCCATTTGATGATCGTCAGTGCAACCTTCCCATCTTAACCTTAGAAGTCATGGCGGCTAAAAACTCCGAACAGAGTGATATTCTCAACCAGTTTTATTACTTACGAGAGCTGAAAATGTATTGAAATGTTGTGATATAAATTGATTTGTGTGTGGTACACATTTATCAATCATCAGTGATCAATATTTTCCTTATTTTTTGTGTAATATTCCTTAATTAATTATTTATTTGCGTGATAGGCCGAATGAAAGGACTAGACCCACATTACATACCGTAACCCTACCTGCCGTGAGGAATGATGCGTTAACCAAGCTAACCTGTTGTAATGCAATTCATCATCACCTGGAAATGCTTTCGGCGGGGAGCTTTAGGTAGTAATAATCGTCATTAGAACTTTTCCACAGCCGCAGACAGTATATGAGCAAGTCAAACGTGCACTCTTTTGTGAGTTGATTTGAAGAAAAACTTCAAGTTCCCTAATTCATCAATTTATGAGTTAGGTAAAAGAATGCTGGTTTGATTATCAATAGCCCTTCGCTCAATTTCAACTTCTATTCAATTATCACACTGCCGTACTATAGCGGAACTATCAATCTAGCCTCGTCAGAACTTTCTCTAGTTAATAAATTATCACATTAAAGCCTCATATTTATATTAGTATAACATTTCCAACCAACTCATAAAATCTTAAACTTCACGTATGAAGTAACAAAAACTCTTTGAATGTACATTTAATTGTTCAACCTCAAGATAACTTTCGTTTTCCTGCCGTTTTTTTTTATCTATTCCTTGTAGTATAAAAAAGCTGGGAAAAAAGTGTGCACATTGCTTAAGTTTGTAGATACTTAGGGAAACACGACAATAATTGTTGAAAAAAGTTAAGTTTTAAGCGTCTGTTGGAGATTTCTGACGTTTCTGACGCAAGTGAGTACTTGTTGGTCGAAGATCGTGTTTCCGAGAAAATAAAATAATTCAGCATATTAATGTTATCATATACTTGCCAACAGTTTGTTTGATCAAACCAACATTACATTACATTAGTCTGAAGCTCAATCAGAATTATTTATTTTTTTGTTAATTTTCTAGTCCTTAAAATGTATGCCTACCGTCCATTCTTTGCATGTAAACAATGCCCAACGTCCATTCCCAAGAAACTAAAAGTTCTGATAAAAGGCTATTTGAGGCTTTAGCAGCTTGGTTGAAGGTGGTTTATAGAATTCTAAGTATCCTCATTTTTAAGCCGTTATAAGAACTTGAAAGTTCCGGTATCATAATTGAAGAACATTCTAAGCAGCTAGCTGAACTTTAGAAAATAAGTTAAAAATAACTACAAGGGACAGCCCTATGGGGTTGTACGCAATGGTGACGTAGCAATACGTGATCTTATATCATAAATGTTATTTGTTAACTGCAGCAGGAGCTGTGTGTTTTGTGTATGAATAGAAATTTGAGCGGAGATCTCTCTGTTTGTACTCTTTAGTATGACACGCTTGGCATAGATGACGCACAGCGACTCACGAAGAGCTGCTGATTCCGATCAATAGCGGTGCAGCTTCTTCCTCCTGCTGCTGCTGATGCCAACGACCGGTGATTGGAACTGAATCCGATCAGCGGTTGTGAGCATCCATGATAGCTAGCTGCTTGCGGGAAGCCTTTCGTTGTGTAATGGAGAACCCAAAATTCAACTTTGAAATCCGTGCTAGGGAAATCGCTTTTCGCAGGCAATCGGTGATAATTTTAACTATCGCAGCAACAGTTGCACATTCGTGAAATTTTCAATAGTGACATTTTGAAAATTGATAGTCATAAATTTATCAGATGCGTAGGAATATTTCTGATCGATTGATGATAAAATTATTGAAATTGGTCCAGGGGCAGCTGAAAGCTATTAACGTTCAAAATCTTTCATAATTTTGTTTCATGTTCCATTTTCGGTTTTCACAAAGTGTACCCCCATATAGAAATCACAGACGTAGTTCTACGTCAAAAAGATTTTGTCCTATACACCAAATAGGATTACTCAAGTGTGCGTGTTATAAACGTCAGAAAGGTCAATGAAATACAAACAGCCAAAACGACCATCAACAAGCAACTTTAAAGTCTGGAGCGCACAAAAGTTGGTCAACTTCAAATTGGTGTATTTCTGTTAAAAATGCATTAAACAAAACCTGAAATTCTGCATTTGGAAATTGAGTGTATATACAATGGTTGCTATGATGAGTGTTCACCGTATGCTCTCCAGTTTTCAAAATGACGCCCAAGCAAAAGGAACAGCGTATCAACATTTTACTCGCGCAGCAAAAGAATCCGACGTTCTCACACGCCAAGTTGGCAAAATTGCTGGATGTGGTCAAATCGACCGTGACAAACGTTTTAAAAGTGTTCGGGGAGCGTCTGTCGACCGCCAGGAAGCCTGGAAGCGGCGGCAATCGTAATCCGCACGTGGCAGCGACGACGAAGAAGGTGGCGGTGAAATATAAACGGAATCCTAACCTCTCCATACGGGACGTCGCTGGCAAGCTCAATGTCTCCCATACTACTGTGCAGCGGGCCAAGAAACGAGCCGGGTTGTCGACGTTTAAGAAGGTGAAGGTGGCGAGCCGACAAACAAAACACATCGGTAAAGCAGCGGCCCCGAAAGCTGTATACGAAGCTGCTTTCAAAGTTCGACTGTGTTGTCATGGACGACGAAACTTATGTGAAGGCGGATTTCAAGCAGCTTCCGGGACAGGAGTTTTATACCGCATCAAGAAAAGGGAAGGTGGCTGAAATTTTCAAAACCATTCAACTATCGAAGATCCCGAAAAAAATATCTCGTCTGGCAGGCCATATGCACGTGTGGTCTAAAAAGCGGCATTTTCATTTCTAATGGAACCATCAATCTAGAGATATACGTTCAGGAGTGCCTGGAAAAGCGGCTGCTACCATTCCTAAAGCAACATAATAGACCTGTGCTGTTCTGACCGGACTTGGCGAGCTGCCACTATGGGGAAAAGGTAATCGAGTGGTACGATGCGAACAACGTGGTTATGGTACCCAAAGACCACAAACCTCCCAACATCCCAGAACTCCGCCATATCGAACGGTATTCGGCCTTGGTCAAACGGAATCTCAAAAAAAAAAAACTAATAAATCCATGGAAAACGAGCAGCAGTTTAAATCTAACTGGCGTTCGGCAGCAAATAAGGTCGATGAGACCACTGTGCAAAATTTAATGGAAGGGGCTAAG